ATTAGTTTTTAGTATTATATTGTCCCCTTCCTCCTAATTTTTCCTCTAGATGCTGCAGTGCATGTTGAAAAATACATGAAAAAAATGAATAATTCTAGTGATCGGCAATTAGAATTCTCATTCTGCATGAAATTTCAGCTTCTGGCTATCCTATAAGTTATGACTCACCATTCTGTGTCACACACACACACACGCTGGCTTCTCTAAAACTTTTTAAAATAACACTATATCATAAAATTACACTTATATGGAAAATTCAATCAATTGTCACTATTGGGAGAAATAGAAGATAACTGAAAAATCAGATTGCTTTAATGTTTGGAGCAATCATTTTCCCTGATGTCACTCAGATGTGTCAGACTAAATTTGACCAGGGGAACATTATGCCTCAGACAAGATGAGTAGCCTTGAAGTATAAAGGAAGAAGAGGTCAACCAAAGTGAACATAGTAAGGAATAATTATTATGATTTAGCGTATGGCGATGTAACATTAGCCAGGAGAATACAGTGCTAATGCAGAGCAGTTGTTTGGCTGCCTAAGACTGCTAGCCCTGTTTGGTTCATTCTTGCATGCTTTCCAAGGTGCACCATAGGGGGCAAGCTAGCTCCGCACCAGAAAGAAAGACGAGTGGCTTTCCTGCAGTGTTATTTGGGACTGTAGGAGCACAGTGGCTCACATAGTTAGGATGCTGGGCTGGAGGTTTAGCAAGCCCGTGTTTGAGACCCAAATGCTGCTGTGGGGCAGGTTGAGCTCCCACCCTTCGCTTCAGCTCCTGCCCGGGACATGACATGAGCCCCCTATTGGAAGTCCCTCAGGAAACAGTGATGCCACCAGCTAAACATTTCAATCTGAAAGTGCTTTGGTGCCTCTGACACAAATACAATGCAATCCTGAGCCCTCTTCCTCCACTGAAACTGCCTCACAAAGGAACTTTGCAACTGGGAAGGTCCAGCGCCAGCAGGATTCTAACCGTCTGCATGAAGCGCCAGCTTGTCTCACCACCGAAGTGGTACCTATTTATCTACTCGCATATAACAAGCTTTCAAACTGCTAGTGGGCAGAAACTGGGGCAAGTGACAGGAGCTCGCCCTGCCATGCAGTGGTAGGACTTAAACCTCTCCAGTGTCATTAATTCACTGAGCCACCCACGCCTCCTAGTAAGGAACAATTAACTGCCAGAGAAAATGATCCTTTAGAGCAGGGGTGTCAAACTGCCGGCCCATGGGCCAGATGTATCATAGCGAAACTGCTCCCACCCCATTGCCAGCAACAGCAAAAAAGTCATGATATGTCGCGAAACGTCATGTGACGTTGCAAATTTGACACCTCTGCTTTAGAGATAGACTATAATGAATCTTTAGAGACACTGATGGCCACATGTCACACACAGAAGAAAAAAAATCAAGAATATTGACTGTGCAATCCAACCGAGTCTAGTCCAGTCTAGCCCTGCTGGAGCTAAACAATCAGTTTCACAGCCTCCCTTTGGAAGAAAGCATGGAGACACCTGGAGAAGGGACATCCCAGGTGCTTTTCAAAGGCGCTTTTCAAAGTTGCATTTTTGAAATGCACCTTTGGGACAATCATGACCTGGATGATTGAGATTCTCCATACACTGGAGAAGGGACATCGTCAAATGTACCAATGACAGGAAAGTAAACCAGACTAAAAGTAGACCAGAGTTTCTCAAGAAAAAAACGGGGGGCATGTTTTGATGATAGGAGACTCGCTACTCACTTACTGAGGGGAACTGAATCAGCAATTTGTAGACTAAACCATCTATCTAGGGCAGGGGTGGGCAACCTTGGCTCTTTTATGACACGTGAACTCAACTCCCAGAATTCCTGAGCCAGCATGAGGGAAACTATGGCCCCTTCATGACTTGGGGACTTCAACTCCCAAAATTCCTGAGCCAGCATGGCTCAGCTTGGAAACCTCTCCCTTTCCCCTCAGCATGGCTGGCTCAGGAATTCTGGGAGTTGTAGTCCACAAGTCATAAAAGAGCCAAGGTTGCCTACCCCTGATCTAGGGAGTTTTGAGGAACCTCTAACCACTGAGTTTTTGGGGACTGGGACAAGTTAATAAATCCAGCAGCTTCAGAGTGATACATAGCAGAACACAATGTCAACATTAACAATCAGCTTAGCTCCAAAATGTCACCAAGAGAAGTTCAAAAACATTTATCAAGTGCCTGGAGAATAATGTGGGGGGGGGGGAAGAGCCCTTTTTCATAGGGAAAGAAAATATCTGAGAAATTGTATTGCAAGGCACATTTCAGGACAACACAAATGTCAACAGTTTATTCTAGGAAGTGAGAAACGAGTCATCTGGTGCCATATGTGAAGAGTTTAAAATTTAAATATATTAGTACCGCAGTTGCTTGATTAATCATCTGGAGAGTTAAAGGAATTGCCCTTTCTGGGTGTGAAAAGGGGGAGAGAATGGAAGTTAAATATTAATGTGGGATATGATAATTAGGACAAGCTTAATTTGCAGAGGATGTGTCAGTTACAACTAAAAAGAAGGATGGCTGACATATAATTATACATCACAAAAGAAAATGCAATCAGTGTGAGAAGGAATGTGAGACCCTAAGACTGATTGAGATCCTCTTCAGGTGGCTTCAAGTTTGGCAGATTATAAAATGGATTAACTTTGGGGGGAAATCAGATACCAATCAATTTCTCATCAAAGCAGTCTGACAGGGCAAAATTATGGCACATGTGAAATTCAGAAGAGGCATCAAGTGCCAGCTTTATTAGTAATAACTCAGGAGCTGTGGAGCAGATAAGCAGCTTAGAAGAAAGGTATTGGACTAGGACTAGCTTAAGAGAAGAGGTTATATCAGGGGTCTTCAAACTTGGCCCTTTTATGACTTGTGGACTCCAATATTGCTCAGGCAGTGTGCCTGGCTGAGGAATTCTGGGAGTTGAACTCCACAGGGGCCAAGTTTGAAGGCTCCTGGGTTAAATGATTCCAGTAAGACGTTCGTCAAGAGGATAATGGAATTGTGGCTTGAAAAATGCCTGGTCATCTACTGTTATTGTGGGAATTTCATCTACTGAAATGGAATTCAGGTAGTCCTCGACTTATGACTGCAGTTGAGCCCAAAATGTCTGTTGCTAAGCGAGACAGTGAATTTCGCTCCATTTTATGCACTTTCTTGCTATAGTTGTTAAGTGAATCACTGTTAAGTCTTAAGTTAGTAACATGATTGTTAAGGGAAAGTGGCTTCCTCATTTACTTTGCTTGACAAGTCATAAGATCACATGACCCTGGGACACTGCAACTGTCATAAATACATGCCAGTTGCCAAATATCTAAATTTTGATCACATGAACATGAGAATGTTGCAAAAATCGTAAGTATGAAAAACAGCCAGAAGTCACTTTTTCAGTACTGTTGTAACTTGAGGATTGCCTGTAGAGACAAAGAGCCTTCCTTCCTTCCTTCCTTCCTTCCTTCCTTCCTTCCTTCCTTCCTTCCTTCCTTCCTTCCTTCCTTCCTTCCTTCCTTCCTTCCTTCCTTCCTCCCTCCCTCCCTCTTGACTCTTGTTGACTGCATAGGCAAGTCCCTGCAGTTTTTTTGGTAAAGTTTTGGGGAAAATAGCTTGCCATTGCATCCTTCCTAGGGCTGAGAGAGAGTGACTGGCCCAAAGTCACTTAAGTGGCCTCCTGCCTAAAGCAAGACTAAAACTCACACTTTTCTGGATTCTAACCTGATGCCTTAGCCCAGTGGTGGCGAACCTATGGCACGGGTGCCAGAGGCAGCACTCAGAGCCCTCTCTGTGGGCACGCGCACCCTCCCCCCAGTCCTAAGCCTTCAGCTGGGTTTTATAAAACCTTTTCACTTTAGGCCTCTGCTGCTGTGTGCAAAAAAGGTTCAATCAGTCAATTTCAATTTTTGCGGGGAAAAAAAAGATCTTGCAAAGTTGGAATTGATTGATTGAAGTTTTTAGTCCCATCCAGTCTGCTGTTACCACTGCAGCCATGCCCACCCAATTGGCCATACCCATCCAATTGGCCACACCCAGCCATTGGGCCACACCCACCCGGCACTCGACGATGCATAAGTGGGTTTTGGGTTGCAGTTTGGGCACTCAGTCTCTAAAAGGTTCGCCATCACTGCCTTAACTACTACACTAAATTAAAATATTTCCTGTAAGAAACCCAAGAAAGATAAGTTGTGACTCCTCTAAGCAGATTTCTTTATTGTTCCTCACCTAAAGACAGAATCTTGTCAAACTAAAGCAAACTACCAGCCACATAAAGAGTGTACTCAGGGAACTATTAGGGAGGATCCATCCTCACCCTCTTTCTCTCACACAAACTATCTAAACTGAGTCGTCTTTTGCTCCTCTGGAATGCACTCCCTTCTGGGAATCCAGACTACAATCCATCACAGATATTATCTCAGCTTCCCCGTGACTTCTATTTCAGTATTTCCTGGTAACCTCCCAACTAGAGCCGAGGTGGCGCAGCAGTTAGAGTGCAGTACTGCAGGCCACTTTAGCTGACTGTGTTCAGCAGGTCAGCAGTTCAAATCTCACCGGCTCAAGGTTGACTCAGCCTTCCATCCTTCCGGGGTAGGTAAAATGAGGACCCAGATTGTTTGGGGCAATGTAAATATATATATACATTGCTTACTGGTGTACACCGCTTAGAGAGTGCTTGCACTTAAAGCGGTATATAAGTCTCATAAATAAATAAATAAATAAATAAATAAATAAATAAATAAATAAATAAACTAAGTATTAACCATGCCCAACTCTATTTACTTCTGAGCCTGGTAACTTCATCAGACCCTACCAACTGCTCAGACAAATTGCAGTGAACTTCCATTTGATTCCTAGATTTGTTTGATTCCAAAGAGTGCAGTCGAAGGAGCAATGATTTGGTTTCCCATCAACGACATATCAAGGAACAGGGGTCCTACTTGCCTTAACCAGGGCTGCTGCTTAAAAAAAAAAAATTGTCTTCTTCATTCCTCTCCTTCTCAGGTTGCGATTTAATCCCCGTTGAATATCTACGATGGGGTGATCCAGAACCGATCGCTGCGGTGGTTTTTGCCTGCTTGGGTCTCCTGGCTACTTTATTTGTCACCGCCATATTCATCATGTACCGTGACACGCCGGTTGTCAAATCTTCCAGCCGAGAACTCTGCTACATCATCTTGGCTGGCATCTTTTTGGGTTACCTGTGCACCTTCTGCCTGATCGCCAAGCCTCAGCAGATCTACTGTTACCTTCAAAGGATTGGCATTGGTCTCTCCCCAGCTATGAGCTACTCGGCTCTCGTGACGAAAACCAACCGCATCGCCAGGATTCTGGCCGGTAGCAAGAAGAAAATCTGTACCAAGAAGCCACGATTCATGAGCGCTTGTGCCCAGCTGGTCATAGCTTTTATCCTGATCTGTGTTCAACTTGGCATCATCGTTGCCCTGTTCGTTATGGAGCCCCCCGATATCAAGCACGATTACCCAAGCATCCGAGAAGTGTACCTGATATGCAACACCACCAACTTGGGGGTCGTGACCCCTCTCGGATACAATGGTCTGCTCATTTTAAGCTGCACTTTTTATGCGTTCAAGACCAGAAACGTCCCTGCAAATTTCAACGAGGCCAAATATATCGCCTTCACCATGTATACCACCTGCATCATTTGGCTGGCTTTTGTGCCCATTTATTTCGGGAGCAACTATAAGATTATCACCATGTGCTTTTCGGTAAGCCTGAGTGCCACCGTGGCCCTCGGTTGCATGTTCGTGCCAAAGGTGTACATCATCCTTGCCAAGCCGGAGAGGAACGTGCGCAGCGCCTTCACCACGTCGACGGTGGTTCGCATGCATGTTGGCGATGGAAAACCGTCTTCCGCAACCAGCCGTTCGAGCAGTTTGATCAACCTGTGGAAAAGAAGGGGGTCTTCTGGAGAAACTCTAAGGTAATCCTTGCTTTAGCGCAGGGGCCTTCAAACTTGGCAACTTTAAGACTGGTGGACTTCAACTCCCAGAATTCCTCAGCCAGCCCTGGCTGGCTGAGGAATTCTGGGAGTTGAAGTCCACCAGTCTTAAAGTTGCCAAGTTTGAAGGCCCTTGTTTTAGTGGATTTTTGGCGGGCTAGATGGGAAGAGGGAAAATGCTGGTTTGAAATATTATTACTTCCACGATGCCACCTATGTCACAGGTACAGTATTATTTAGAACAAGTTAGCATTCTTCAAGATTCAGAAACTCTTTGCATTGGATTCTGCTTTGTATCTTTCCTGCGCTACAGAAAATATTTAAGCATTTGTCTTCTGAATTTGTGATGAAATTATTTCACCTAGCTCAGTGGTTCTCAACCTTTTTAATGCCGCGACCACCAACCCGTCATAAGTCGAGGACTACTCAGCCGGTCATAAGTCAAGGACTACTCAACTGGTGCAGCACCGTGTGCAGATTGGGACTTTTGGCGGGCTCAGCAGGGCAGAGACAGCCTGGACAATTCCTATTGGCTTTTGAAAGCCAATAGAATTAGACTCTATTCAAGAGAGTCTATTCTATTGGCTTTCAAAAGCCAATAGAATAAAAGGGAGTAGCACAGCTAAGGAAAAGGGGGAAAAAATGGCAGACTGCGTTGTTTGGTGACCCCTGTGAAATGGTCATTCGACCCCAAATGGGGTCCGACCCACAGGTTGAGAACCACTGACCTAGCTAGATTCAGATGGTCTTCTTCAGGTAATACTCTTCTTCAGATTTATTGGTATAGCAGCGTTCTCTATAGTTTTGATCTTTTTACGACTCTTAAGTTGCCTAGAATTACCCTTGGTAAGGTTAGCGGCCAACACATTTTGCAAATAAATCCCAATATTCAGAGAATACTAACCGGAGGAAAGTGTCCTAAATCAGCAGTCCCCAACCTTTCAGGCACCAGGAACCGGTTCCATGGAGAGAGGTTTTCCCATGGACTGGAGAAGGTGTGGTTTTGCATGCTGCCTGTATCCTGCAGATGGGGCTTTGCTTGTTGTGTGAACCAGTTTCTGGCATGCCGTAGACCAGTGCCCTAAATGTAATCTTCTGGTTTTCCTTTTCTTCCCATTTCTTCCTCTCTTCTATTTTTATTTTTTATTTTTTGGGAAGCTTTCTTCTTTCTCCATAGAAGGGGTGCAACTTATCCTACGATAGATCATAGCCCTGTCATGGATCTTGAACTAGCTCAGGGGTCGGCAATCTTAAACACTCAAAGAGCCACTTGGACCCCTTTCCCAGAGAAAACACTGGGAGCTGCAAAACTTCACAAAGTATTAGAGGCTGCTGTGCATGAGTTTTCTCTCTCTCTCTCTCTCTCTCTCTCCCTCCCTCCCTCTCTCCCTCTTTCCGATCTTCTGCTCACCTGGCAAGCTGGCTTCATGCTGAGACACATTCTTTCATATATATATATATATATATATATATATATATATATATATATATATATATATATATATATATATATAGATGTCTTTGGTTGTTCGGTTTTTCTCCCGCGTAAAATTGGAAGTGTCTTGGCAACACTTCGAGGAGCAAACGAAGCTGAAAACACCAGCCTGAAGATGATGAATGGGACTTCGTCGAAACGTCGCCAAGACACTTCCAATTTTACGCGGGAGAAAACCCGAACAACCAAAGACATATATATATATATATATATATATATATATATATATATATATATATATATATATATATATATATATATATATATAATTTTTAAACCAACAAAACAAAACATAACACACATACATACACAGTATATACTCCTCCCCTTTTTTAAACAGTGATTACATAACGTTAATCTTCTATTATTTACATTTCTCCCCCTTATTCTTCTTTAGAATATTTGTCCTTATTGCCCCGTTGTTTCTTATTTACATTTTTCTTCCTTCATACTCTACTTCTTACTAAAAATAATTCATATTATTATTATTATTATACATTATTATACACATATTTTCACTTTTGACCTTTCCATATTTATTCTCCTCTATTATTTCTAGTCTCCCACCAGTCACACCACTTGTTCCATGTTAGATAGTACTCTGTAAGCTGACACACATTCTTATTGGGCTGGGTCTCTCCTGCCCTTGGTCTGCCAATCCTCTTCCCCCACTTAGTGTGTGTTTATGTGTGTGAGAGAGAGGGGGGGAGAGGGAGAGGGAGAGAGAAGGGAAGTACAAGTGCCTGTCTCTGTCTCTCTCTTTCTCTCTCTCTGCAAATGGCGGAGGAGGCTGGGAGCCGCAGAAGAAGGCTGAAAGAACTGCATGTGGCTCTGGAGCCGTGGGTTGCCGACCTGTGACCTAGCCCTTGGAAACAAATGGTTTGGCATTGGTTAAATTAACTAATACAATAGCAATGTATGCAGAAGAACATTTTTCAAGTATTAACAGATCATTTCTTGAACTGATCATCCGAGTTCCGGTATATCTTTTCCTTGTGTTATGGGAATTGCTTCCTCCTCATGCCGACTCTTCCAGCTATACTTCATATAGAAGTAGTCCTTGACTTATAACAGTTCATTTAGTGATCGTTCAAAGTTACAACGGCACTGAAAAAAGTGACGTATGACTGTTTTTCACACAACCATTGCTGCATCCCCATGGTCACGTGATCAAAATTCAGACGCTTGGCAACTGACTCATATTTACGACGGTTGCAGTATCCCTGGGCCTTGTGGTCCCCTTTTTTCAACCTTCTGATAAGCCAATGTGAAAGGAGAAGCCAGATTCACTTCGCAATCATGTTACTAACTTCACATCTGCAGTGATTCACTTAACAACTGTGACAAGAAAGGTGATAAAATGGGGCAAAACTTCACAAATGTCTCACTTAGCAACGGAAAGTTTGGGCTCAATGGTGGCTGTAAGTCAAGTCAAGGATACCGTATATCATGAGAGGGTTATAATTCAATTGGGGAAAAAAATCCATGTGGTTAAGCTCTCTTCATACGCTTTAGATGTAGAGCAGGCATGTCAAACTCGCGACGTCACATGATGTCGCGCAACATATCGTGACTTTTTCCCCATTGCCGGCAATGGGGTGGGCGTGGTTTCAGTATGATGCATCCAGCCCGTGGGACGGCAGTTCGACATACGTGATGTAGAGGGTTCTAGGTGTACCTAAAATGAATCTTTGTGTAAAACACAATTGTTTTTGTACTGTCCCTATATCTATACACACCCAAATGCACACACACAGTTTTGAGGACCTGTTGAGTCAGCTACATGTATGCCAAAAAAAAGAGAGAGAAAACCCAAGATCTTGGACTCAAACGGTGATGAAGATTGCTTCTTCTTTCCTCTGAAGCTATTAATCCAAAATTTGTTTCTCTCCACTGATTGTCAAACTCACCGTGGGCTTTACTGTAGATCTCAGCACAGCACAGTGAAAAGACAACATAATTGCTTTGTAACCAGAAATTAATCATTCACCATTCAGTAGATAAGATCATTAGCTGCTATTTTTGGAATTTCCATGAGTGTTTTCCAAGTGATTCAGTTACTATAAATTTTACTCTTTATATGTCATTCCTGCCTACTCATTGCTTTCCGTTCTCTACCTGCCATTGCTTATCCTTCTAATTTATTCTCAGCTGTACTTTAAGCATCTCTATGATGCACTTGCTTCCCGTGGCCTTGCCTTTTCCATGCTTGTTATTCGTCACCTTAGTGTCAATGTCTGAAGCTAATTCTTATTCCTAATTAAGGAGATGCAGGAATAATAAAGAATGAAGGCAAGCAAATACAGCAGCAGTACTTGCTTGAATGTGGTGACCTTTGTTAACGAAGCAGAGAGCATTAAGGCAAAAGCGGTGATGAGTTTCAAAAGGGTCTGTTGTGTTGGACAGGGACAAATGATAATCCCCATTCAGGGGAAGCTTTCAGAAGCAATTGTACACTATTCAAACTGTAGAACCTAGCCATTCTATTATCTGAAGGACTCCACGGCTAACATCTGCATAGCCTCTGCAGTCATAGTAAAATATGCACAGCTTCAGAAAAGGAGCAACCAACCAAATAGGCAGAAAACAACAAAAAAAGAAAAATTGCTGTAGAAAAAAATGTTTATTGTACCAGAGTCCCAACGGATTTGAAGGGAATATATCTTCATTCAGAGGAACGGTATAAATCAGCTATCTTTGATTTATTTTCATTTTCATTTTATTTCTTTGACATACCAATTTTCTGCTTATTTTCAACGGCTTCCCAAAAATCACACATTCTTTAAATCTAGTCAGTTGAAAGCAGCGGTAGACCTGAAGGGTTACCTAGTCACGTTAGAATTTTTAGATTCTACGTTGGCCACAAAGAAGTGGTAAAATAACATTTCTTGTAAGAGTGAATGCAATATATTTCTGTGAGCTCTCCAAGGTCCTGAAATCTCCCACTCTGGCAGAGCCTTCATGTTCCTTCCACTTTATGAATGATCAATCTATTACTTGCTTTTTAGGAACCTTCATGGTGAAATTTGAAGGAAAAGAGGAATATAACCAGATAGGGCACAGCCAAGTACAAAGAGTATTTTTGTATCAGGAGTATCAGAAAGACGGAGAGCACAGAACTGCTTCCTATAAGTTAAGAGTGTCCCTGCGAATTTTACTCTGCTAGTCATTGCTGACTATAAGGGGCAGTGTGTCATGGTTCCGATAGATGAGACCAGTAGAAATAAGAACTCTGAGGCAAATGCTTTCCTCAAAGAACACATTTAATAGCTACATAGTATCGGCACAAACAACGGTGAAACCAAGACTGAAAGTTCCCCCCCCCACATACACACACACAATATGTCATAAACCACGATCCTCAATTAACTACTTTGGCGGGCTTTCTAACGGAAGCTCCAGCGCGCCAAAAATTAGGTAACTTGACCTTGGTTCCCACAGGAAAGTTGTTGTTATGACTAAACTTGAAGAATATATCTCCCCCCCA